AGTAACATACATGTTAGCCAATAAACGAGTACCTAAGGCCCGTATTCTCAGTCACACCTCAAATTAAGGACCCCTCGTGACTTGAAGGTCGCCTTGAATAAGGACGCCTTCGCGCTATGCGACTTTGGCATTTCATAGTACCGAATTAAAGAGTCCTTATTGAAGGAAGTTTCGCCTCAAATTTTGCAACTGGCAACAACGGTTTCTACGAAATGTTTATTGTTATTGTCATTAAGTTGTCATTATTAATATATGGTTCTATGCGAACAAGGTCAGATAGCTGTAGAAATAGTGATTTGTCTGTGAAATTTATGCGCAAGTAATTATGGCGATCAAGTACACTGAGTCTGAGAAAATGTTCCTGGTTCAGATGGGTACTCGCAGCATAGAGTCATAGTTGAAAATAAAAAAAATAGACGCCGTATTAGGTTTGTTCGGACTTAGTTCAGAATCATTTCTGAATTGAACTGCGCTTGCGCATTTCTTCATTAAGAACATAAATAAACAAATGCACAAGCGCAGTTCAATTCAGACTTTATTCTGAATCAAGTCCAAACAAGCCCATTATTGTAGGGAAAACAGCCTGCCCGGGATGAAAAATGTATTTTCTTGACCATTTTGTAGATAACCGACAACCATGAAGTTGCTTCGCGATATAATAAGAGGTATCGGACTTCGAGGGATGCTACTACATATGAAAATAATGGAAAAAGTTCTTAGGAATATATTATGCCCTAAGATCCTTTTTTTGTTTTATGAGTAAACTACCCTCTACCCTTATGGAAACTACCCTTTCAGAACTGTTATGACTTTTTTACTATCATCATTCGCTTTGGTATCGCAATGTATGCGAGAATACCAAATTTCAAGGAAAATTGTTTGCCACTAATGCAATATTCGTGAAAATAGATAAAATCTATGATTTTCATCCACCGTTTGAAGGGCTGTAACTTCTTCATCAGGGAGCATCTTAGGGCATGTTCATAGGAACTATTTTCATATATAGTATCACCCCTTGAAGTCCGGTACACTATTTTTTTCACACCCTGTATAAACAATTATTCGATTAATTTTTTGATGTTTTCTTTTATCTGTCTTTTATGTCTCAACTTTTCAACGTTTCAACTTTCCGTTTCTTTTTCCTCTGCCAAATGCGAAGTCTAGCGACCAAAAATACTTGGTAGTTTATAATATGTGAGCAAACTTGCCCCTGATAAAGAGTACTTCTTGTCTCGAAACATATAGGGTGCTTTAACTTGATCAAAGGACTACTTCTTCAATTTCTAATTCTAATGGATTCTGCATGTCTCGATTCTCGAATGTTCCTTCTTGGCCTCCGCAGCACAATCTGCATGTGGCTTAATTCACCAAAATGTTGCAATGCCACGGATGCGGTGATATATCGACTTACAGGCATGCTAATGCCTATTTAATTTAATACTGCTTTTTCTACTATTCCACCACGGTGCCTGCACCAGCTGAATTTAGCCACACGAGGTTATCATCATCAGCGACATTTATCTCTACAAATAAATTTTCCAGCTCATTCATACTAACTACAATACTTATAATAAACTTTGCACATCAATTAAATACAGTTCACGTACTGTCACCAATTAGGTTCACGTGCTGTCACCAATAGGTTAGAAAACCAGTCTCAAGGGACCTCTGGACATTCCTCAAGTCAAGGAAGGAAATGTGCCGAAATACGCATGAGCGGCGTAAGGACGCCTTGACAATTTTGACTCTGCAAGACAATTTACTGCGAAGGTCACCTTCAAGGAATCCTCAGCACTCAAGTAGGCACTATGAATACCGGGCTAAGTTCTCTAAGTCATTTTTTGAATAACATGTATCTAATTCTTTATTTACATGCAATGATTCACACTCCGAATTTTCAGATTCAGAAACCAGTTATTGTTCTTGAATAACTGAAGCGTGTCTTGAATCAATCTTTGAGGGATATTTATGATTCCGATAAACATGGAAGCGAAAACTTTCTATATTGAAGAAAGTATTTTGATTATTGCATGTTTTAGATAAAAGGCACATTATTTCTATGTTGGGCTCTTTGAAATGACTATATACATACATGCAAAAATATGATTCTCTCACTTAAAGCAGTATAATTGCAATTATTAACATTGCAATTGATTTTGATGTTCGAGTTCAATTTATTTGTTTCACTTTCATGAAATCTAAAAACATGTCGATATCCTAAAAAAGTTTTTAGAGAAATTCGACAATCAACTCGGGGGCAAACAAATTTTGCACCCGGCCAATTCCTATGCAAATAACAATGTGTATCATATTTTTGCAATGTTCTGCATCGGAACCCACACAGGTTGCACTTAAATATGTTATTTCCCGATCATGGATAAAAAAACCAAAAAAGATTTGCACGTACCTACTTTCCCTTTAAAAAAATTGGAGTCTAATAATAAACTCTGTGACAAAACTATATCCCGCAAAACGAATGAATTAACGATATTATGTTCAACTAGCACAGAACCGCCTGAGCAATGCCCGGAAATTGCGATAATGGCAATGGCGTCAATCAATGGCGATGGTTGATGGATTGGGATAGAGCCGGTCGGTATGCATGCAGATGCAGCATGCAACGAGTCGTGATGTGATGACATTTTTGATTTTGGAATATTACAGGCAGTGTTGCCACAAGCTCTTTCTTTATTGGGGCAGATTGCGGCGAGATAGCGGGGAAGAATAGGATCGGTGCGGGGTAGCAACAAATATTTCACCTACGAGCGTGCGGAAAGTAGCATTTTACCGCGCACTATGCCATAAAGTTACTTTACCGCATAGTCTGCAGTCTGCGAGTCTGCGGTAAAATAAACTGCAAAGTGTGCGGTATAGTTACTTCATCGTATAGTGTGCGGTAAAGTAGACTGCTTTGCTAATGATATAGCTAAAATTTTATGACGCGCGGTTTTGACGCTGTTAGGTAAATAACTTTAATGTTTTAACATATTTTTCTGCATCAATTACCACACAAATTCAAAGGAGACACTGAAAGGAATCTCTAAATGAGGTTATATCTTAGGCGTAGACAAAAAACTTGTTGCTAGGTACAGTTCAAATAAATATAAATTGCTTCTCATAATTAGGATTTTGTACGTATTTTTAATTAGCGATAAGCAGAAGCATTCTTTTTCTATTATAGCATAGATTGTATTTAGATTTAATTGAGGGGAGCGGAAGGGCGAGAATGTTTTCAAAAGGGGTAGATCTACCCCGAACGGGGTAGCTTTGGCAACACTGATTACAGGAAAATGGTAGCTTTACATGTTTTAGAAATATCTGCAATTAAAATTACGGTTTTGAATCGACAATAATATTTTTACATTTCATATAATGCAACTTTAGGTTCTAAAAATACATAATTAAGAAGGGATTTTTAATATCTCGGAATTACAGTATTCGTGACGGAACAATCTAAACTTAAAATAATCTTGCAGGATAAATGTGTTTAAAATAAGGGTACTTGTATTTTTACCATAAATATCGCGAAAAAATAAATTTGGAAGTCGTAGATTTTCACACAAAAAATAAAAATACACAAAAAATTAAGCGATTTTCCCGGACACAAATATTTTCAATATACATATATTATGTAAATATTACATTACAAATAACAAAAAAAATACTATAATTTTTTTCAGTGTGGAGTGGAACAAACTGTGTGGGATTTTTATGGTCAAAACTGAAAACGTCAACATTATTGAACTACTATTTTTTCATGTAGTCACTACATATTTAGAATGTCTAACATTCTTGTTACTTCTGGCTTTAATCTGTGAAGCAATGGTATTCACTTTGAAACAAAACATTAAAATCGTTTAAAATATATATTTAAAACATAGGACATAAATTCTAGATATATTCTGGTAAAAACCTTATCTAAGCACCTAATTATTTCAAGATTTCTCCTCTTCAAAACTAGTTTTTCTAAAATATGCCCTCAGTACTTCATACTATTCAAGAACTCTGTTGGCACATTGTTCTACTGATAACCATCTAGTTACACTTGGCAGTAAGATTTTATGTATGTCAACCTTGAAAAATTTTTGAAATTCTTTCAATTTTTGTTGTATACTAAAGCTATGACTAAAATGAGACCCAATATTGCGTAAATGTCCTTTACTGATCGAGGTAGTTGTTTGAAACTGCCAAGTATATCATATGGCATGAGCATTGGACACAAACAATTTCAGGTAAATCTGCCTTCAGGTACCACATTAGTTGTATCACTTGAAAACCCAAATAGATTTGTGAGGGGAATTTTTTTATAATTTACTGTATTATCATTGGCTACTTCAACCCTGTCAAAGAAGGATGTGGTTAATTTATTTTTATATCACAAAAATAAATAATAGTAAATGCACATTGTTTTGTACCAGCCACATCATAAGTTTCATCTACAATCAAGGAAAACCAAATTCTATTTTCTCGAAACTGACTATACAGATTTTCCTTGAAATTTTCGCCGAAAGATTCTCGAACTATAGCTATTGCTTTAGTTCTTCGAACACTTAAATTTTTAGCAATATTAGAATCTGGGAAGATATACCCACACAACCTGGTTAAAGTATCCAATAATGAAAATGGCAAATTATTGGTTGCTATTAAGCCACATAATTTTAGCTCTGCCAATTTTACTCCTTCTGGAAGAGGGGTGAACATTTTTTCAAGATTACGAGTGGTCTTGATTTGCCTAAAAGAAGTCAAATGTTTTTCAGATTTACTATAACGCAATAAAGCAGTCTTGTGTGAAAATATATTGGTGTCACATATTTTACAGCGAGTCATTTCTCTTGTGTTAGCACCCTGTTTACTCTTTGTTAGTCAATCCCGAAATTCTGGAAGGTGCAGCCATTTATTTTTAAACTTATATTCCCTCTTTTTCATTGTTAGTTTTGTGATTTTCGCAACTTTTGGATTTGGTGGTGACGGTTCAATGTTGACCTTTTGAGCTGATATTACTACCTCAAAGATAATTTTATATAAAGATATAAAATAGTGTAATTAAATGGATTATTATTATTAACTGTGGTGAGAGTCAAATTTATATGGTCTGGTGGAGTCAAGATATTGTCACGAATTTCCTCAGTTCCAATTTCTTGACTGGGATTCAGGTTCAGCTGATCTCTGCTTGTTCCTGTTTCCCCATTCCCAGTTGGATTCTAAGGAAATAATATCATGTAAAATCAAAAATAAAATAATTGGTGTTATTTTTCACATAATATTCTAGATGCTCATTGAAATCTTGATTCACCTTAACGTTTTTTCTGATCACCCACTTGTCCATTTTTCTCTAAATTAGATCCGGACACTTCATTTTCATTGTTTACCATTGTTATATGACATCAAATTCCAAATCAAAAATAAACCATGAACCAGAAAACTAATCAGCAACATCAAACAAGAAAAACTTGCCTGAGAAAAACAAAGCATCCAAAAAACAACATACACAAAGCACACCATGCCTTTTCGGAAACACGATCCGAGTTCTACGAGATCAGCAGCTGATTTACTTTGTCTTTTTTTCAATCGCGTTCATTTAAAAAAGATAAAAAACAAACAGCTGGTGATCGGGCTGATGGAATCAGCGTTTCTAAAATGGCCTCTGGACAATCTTGACACGTGACGAGACATACATACGCGAACATCTTCCTTTCAATAAAAATGTTAGGCGCTTGCTATACCACGAGTTGTGACATGGCTCTCGTGCCGGGACGAATTTTGCGCGGAACGTAAAATTTGTGCGTAGAATGCGAAATTCGTATACAGAATGGTTCCGGGTTCCGAAAGCGTTCTTGAGACGGTTTATTGGCGAGTTGGTAATAATGTCCAGAATATCAAGATCGTCATTTAAAAACATTTTTTAAGTAATCACAATCCATTTTAATTTAATTTAGAATATTCAGTAAAATCAATAGAACAATAAAAATAAAAAGCAACTAAAAGTACAGTTGCGATCAAAAAAAAATAGTACAAAAATTATTAACCCCAATTTGAGCTCCCGGTGTAACATACAAAATTTTGACAGGCAATGACATATTCTAGGTTAAAAACGGGTGGAAAAAGATCAAAATAATGTCATCTGAAGCTTTCTAGGCCAAAAATATGTCATTTTTGGTTATGAATTAAAGTAATTTATAATAGACCAGGAGATTTTGGAGATTTTTCTTGTACTACTTTTTTTTGATCGCAACTGTACGTCTATAGGTCTAATCGATGTTTTAATCACCAAAAATTGGACGTTTGGTTTAATCAAAATTTAAGGTTCGCTAAACGTTGATGTTAGTGAACGGTGCAATCGGCCATAAGTATTATACAGGGTGTCCCAAAAAGATACCGACAAACTTTAAGGGGTAGTAGGGGACATCAAAACAAGCATTTTTGTTTATATAAACATATGTCCGCAAATGAGTCATTTGGGCTGTAGAGCAAATAAACTGTTTGGTATCTAGTTTTATTCTTCGCAATAATTAAATCACTGTTTACTTATTAATTTTGCTTTAATAGCAAATAAATTATGGTTTACAATAATTGTTCAACTTGCGAACTTTTTGGAATATTCCGGGAATAGCTTCTACATGGGTACAACTCGCCAATATCCTTGCTATCAGATCTTCCTCATTACGAACAGGTGTTTCGTAGACTAAACTTTTCAGTCAATGACCCGATGGTGTAATCTTTGCATTGAAGTAAATGGTCAACATTTTGAACAATTATTGTAAACCATAATTTATTTATAATAAAGCAAAATTAATAAGTAAACAGTGATTTAATTATTGCGAAGAATAAAAGTATCAAACAGTTTTTTTGCTCTACAGCCCGAATGGCTCATTTGCGGACATATGTTTATATAAACAAAAATGCTTGTTTTGATGTCCCCTATTACCCCTTAAAGTTTGTCGGTATCTTTTTGGGACACCCTGTATTTATGTCTGTATATTATGTAGATTGATGATGGTATTGGGATAACAATATATGATAAATCATTTTTAAACAATAATGTTCTTTTTGTTTTGTAGACAATAACCCAAATGACACAAGGAAAACAAAAAATGATAGTTTGGGTTATAGTCCAGGAGGTGGCGCCAAAAACATGCAAGAGTTTTCGCAAGGCGGATATTTTCAAAATAGGTCGTACTTTAGTGCTAGAATGCTAGTGTACAGTCAGCACTCACAGTTCCGGGACAGCTGGCTCTGGGACGCGGGCAAAGTTGTAATTTTAAGAAGCATCTAAACTGTTTTCTCAAAGCTCAAAATTTATAGAAATTTTGCACATTATCTGTTTGAAGGTCACAGATAACGTATGTAAATCGTCAGACGTCTAGTTCGTTGCAAAAAGGGGGGTCAGACGTCCTCAAAGTTCTTATTTTATGACATTTTCTTCGGTGTCCTGTCAAAATATATTTTTGCAGGTATTTGACAAATATATTTGAAGAAAATGCCATAAAATAAGAACTTTGAGGACGTCTGACCCCCTTTTTGCAACGAACTAGACGTCTGACGATTTACATACGTTATCTGTGACCTTCAAACAGATAATGTGCAAAATTTCTATAAATTTTGAGCTTTGAGAAAACAGTTTAGATGCTTCTTAAAATTACAACTTTGCCCGCGTCCCAGAGCCAGCTGTCCCGGAACTGTGACTGCTGACTGTACACTAGCATTCTAGCACTAAAGTACGACCTATTTTGAAAATATCCGCCTTGCGAAAACTCTTGCATGTTTTTGACGCCAGCTCCCCAGCTATTAGTTTGGGTTAGTAGTTGGCAGCTCTCTGCAAAACGAAAAGAAACCTCAGTAAATTTTGTATATGCAAGACCAGAAATGCAGAAGGGCAAGTTTACTCCCACATATACAAAAGTGGTTGCAAATGCACTTTGGGAACAAGTGTCGACAATCCTCAATTCCATAACGGGAGAGTCTATAAAGACATCCATTCAGTGGAAGAAGGTTAAACAATTTATAAATACAATAATTTAAATAGTTAAATAGTTCGATTGTTTTTCACTTTTTTTTATATTAAAAGTATGGATTTCGATCAAAGAAAGTGTTTGGGACTTACGTTTTATCGTATTGTTATTTTGGGTAATTTAAAAGCAACTTGTATATATTTCTTAAATTTGAAGTGTAAATTTCAATTATTAATTGCGCGTGAGAATGGCATTTCCATGGACTTTCGCGCGGTACCGTAAAAGGGTGCAAGAGTGCGCTCTTGATTAAAGAAGGACAGAGATTGAGTAGCCGAAAATATGTGCTGTCGCTGTCCGAAAGAGAGAACGATTTTTGTCGGCAATCAAACCAGAACCAATTATTTTTAGTGCCTAAAACCCACGCAGTTTCGGGGTAAGTCCTTTATTGGTTTTGCCATTTATCGATTTTTGATAACTTTTAAAAATACAGTCCACTGATTAGCTCGTACAGAAAGTTTTTATAGACATGGAGAGATTTAAGAAAAAATTTTAAAATCAAAGCTTCAAAATAACTAAAATACACACAATGTACAGGAGACGGTACACCAATGCCACCGGTAATACTAGAGTCAGAAGAAGATAAAACTATAGAAACAATTATTGAAATATTAACACCTGTAACGGTGGAGGGCAATATAGACGTGCGTGATCCATTTGTCATTGCTGAGGAATTAGAGGATATTATCATGAAAGTAAGTTAACCGTTAGTTGTAGTTGACTAGCCATTGTCTATTTAGGTAGCTACCCAGTTCATAAATATTAAAAAAAAAACACTGGCCCCCAGATTTTCTTGAGTGGTAATTAATTTGTTATCTGTATCTGTAAAATGTCTGCTTGTTCTATGTTTAATGCAAACCCTAAGAATAGTGAATATCACCTCTATAAATATTTTTTTCTATTTCAGACAACAAATGACATGGGCCATACTGATCATAGTAATGAAGACATGGGCATCAATATTGATTGAGCATATGCTAGCACTTCAGGCATGTAAAATAAAGGCAAACAAATAATACAGCCTGTTGATTTGCCTACTGAACCTAGGGTCGAGGTCACACAGGCAAACAGAGAGAATGCGAAACCCGAGACAAAATCCAACATACAAAAAAAAGTACACAAAATCTGCAAGACTCACTGACAGTCTAAAGAACAATAAGAAATTCTTAACACTAAGTGAGCAGGAAATCTGTTCAACAGACAGATATAGACAAAAAAAAGTTACAAATATTACAGAACCATTACGAAAAAAAAAACATGAATATTTTCAAGAAACACTTGAAATTTTTAAAAACATATCTGAAACTCTTGGGGTTATTCCTGAAAAATTTAAATAATTCACGTGTTCTTTGCTTGTTACCAAACAAATCATAAATTTCACCGAAGTTACCTTGTTTGTTAGTGTTAAGCTTCTTGGCCTTTGAGTAGGTAGATATTTTGGTTTCTGCTATCTTAATATCCAACTACGACAACTACTGTCACTGCTATATGTATAGGGTTTCATCGAGACGAGAAATCTCGCCTCGAAGGCAATTTCTCGTCTCGTCTCGATCATCGAGACGAGAAATCAACAAAATCTCGTCTCGATATTTTTCTCGAAGACAATTTCTCGATCTCGATTCGAGATTCTCGAAATTTCGTAGCGAGTAGTGTAATCATCCGAGGCCATATAGAGGCCGAATTTATTTATTATTTTATCAAAGATAGCTCGTGATTTTTTAAGTATTCAAGCTACTTCAGTGCCCACAGATAGACTGTTTTCATGAGCAACACTGACCATTAGAAAAGAACGAAGCCAATTAACTGGAGAATCGGCTCAATTTTTAATGTGTATGAATTCTTGGCTATGTAACAAAGAAATATTTACGAATGTATAAACAATAATTCGTTATCAGTTAAGAAACTTTTTTTTATATTGGAACATGTTATGCTATAGTTATATCCCGTGAGAACTCCAATTCAGCATTTATATTGTTCTATTCAGCTTATTTTTAATATTATAAAAGGAGTAATTTCTAGATTTAAGTCAGTTCTATTGTATTAGTCAAATAAAGTTTTTTAAAAACGCTCTCTCGTGTACACCCCTCGTAAGTGGCGCAGTCGGTAGGATTTTGACGGAGACTTCGGTAAAAAACAGTCCGGTTCAGTCGAAAATTTGGATTTTGCGGGCCGTAAAAAACCATCGTCTTTTCGTGCTAACGATTTACCGTCAAATCGAAATATACGTTCGTGGTATACGAAAGACTTTTGACAATCAGTGAACTCGCGACCAGGGATCGGAACAAAAATCGTCCATTAATCCTATTGGTGCGGATAGCGGAACTACATCGTCCAAAATCCATAGAAGATAAATTCATGTACTTCAAGATCAATCTG